ATATTACCTCCCATCAGAGGTAATTTTCCAGTTCTAATCTCTGATTTACCTCACATTAAAGAGCCACTATAGTCACCAGAACCATTACAGCTTAATGTGTCTGCAGGCTTTTTAATGTAAACACACTGCCTTTTCAGATAAAAGACACTTGACAGATCATATGGGTGGGGCATTGTGATGTCACATGGTGGGCAGAACATAAGGGGGGGCGGCAAATTTTTTGTTTGCCTAGGGCGACAAAAATCCTTGCACTGGCCCTGGGGTTAGGGGGTTGGAGAGACAGGGTTAGGGAGTTAGAGGGTTAGTGTGATAGAGTGAGGAGAAAACACACCGACAAAATACATTTAATTTATTTTGCTTCCCCCCCCTCATGCTTGCCTTCTGTGCAGGCAGGGGAGGCAAACATTTATTTCATGGTGGTCCAGTGTGCTGCTGGCTCGCTCCCTGGTGGTCCAGTGTGCTGCTGGGGCTGCCGCACTCCCTCATGGTTCTGGCGCACTGTGATGATGTCAGAGCACATGCTGGGCACCTGGCGCCTGTGCTCTGACACTCACAGTGCGCCTGAACTGCGAGGGAGTGCGGCAGCCCCAGCAGCACACTGAACCACCAGGGAGTTTGTTTCAGCTGGCAGGGAGATCTTTTGATCTCCCTGCTGGCTCAAGGAAGGGGGCTCGATCAGAGTCTGCAGGACTACTAACGGGATCGGCGTTCCTGGTGTGGAATAAGTGCAGGAACATCGTTCCTGCAGGACTCATCCCTGGTTTCACCACCCAATCAGAAGAGAGGGTGCAAAACCAGTTTGCACCAATCGGTGCTTGCAGCAGAGAGCTCTTCTGCTGCCCGATCAGAAGAGAGGGCGCAAAACCCATGTGCACCAATCTGCACTCGGGGCGGAGAGATCTTCCGCTGCCCAATCAGAAGAAAGGGCGCAAAACCCGTTTGCACCAATCGGTGCTTGGGGCAGAGAGGTGTTTCACTGCTCAATCATGAGAAAGGGCGCGAAACCCCATTTGAATGGGTGTTCCTTCTACTATTGGTCGATAAAAGTCTGATAAAAACAGTTTCAAGATATTACTGCAGGTGTTTCAATATCTCTGTCTATCCCTCTGTTTGTGTTCACTGTTGTTGGTGCCAGCATACCTACCTTACCCACTCCAGTGTACTGGTGGAATCTCCTGTTCATGGGAAACATTTGTCCTTCAGGAGTTTTCAAGTGTTCTACTGGTAAAGTAGGGTTTCTTTTAGGGTACATCTGATTAATATATATTCATGTCTTCTTATATACTCCATATTTTTATCATCATGTAACCAACAGGATAGTTACAAATATACCAAATTATGCAAAATATATTATGTATATACTGGAGTGTGATCCTTAGCCACACTACAATTTTATAGTTAAATCGACAAAAGAATGCAAAGCCTTTTGAGTTACATTGGGGCTTAAAAGGAAACAACAATTGTATTATTAATGGAAATATGACGTATCTTTTATAAACAAAACTTAGTTATAGTATCAAACATTTCCTGTTCTTTCCTGGTCGTTTACTGCTCATGTCCTCTTGTCTCCTCATTTCATCCTCTTGTCTCCTCATTTCTTCCTGTCTCCTGATCTCTTCCTGTTTTCTGCTCTCTTCTTCCTGTCTTCTGCCCTCTTCCTCTTGTTTCCTTCTATCTTCCTGTCTCCTTCTCTCTTCTTCCTGTCTCCTGATATCTTCCTGTCTTTTTGCTTCTATCTTGTCCTGTTGCACACATTCATGTGCCATATTCAGTAGGAAGATCTTATGGTCTATCCGTTCTTGTTTGGGGTCCCTTATCTGCTCCATGTGGAATTTTACATCCTCTAACGCATTGTACATAATGTTTAATATATCTGTATCTGTTGTGTCGATTCTCTGATGTTCTTCTGTGGTATAATTCTCCACATTGTACACCACCTCAGCTCCCAAATCCTTAAACTTTATTTCAAGCTCTCTGAAATCCCCCCTGGCTTTGTTGGTCAGAACAATGATCGGAACAATACCTAAGAAAGAAGAAGCAAATAAACAAATTCACTTTTCTTTTGACTGACATGATGAGAGGCATTGGTGAGTATGGAGTTATTGTTGAGTTCCTGGTTGTGTGAGATACTCTGTACTATTCTATTACATGACATGATAATCACCTGTCATCTGTGTGCACGCTAAAAGGAAGGTTTTCATTTCTAACTCCTCCTGCCGAAAGATGTCCTTCTGCATACTGACAATGAGAGAAATATACCATTAATTATTTCATAAAATACATTCCTTTTTATAGCTAAGATTAAGCATAGTGTTACATAGTGTGTACACAGTACATAAAGTAACGTATATAATATACAGTTAGCATCCTGTTCTTTGAGTGCTCATGTTCCATTTGGGAGAACCAGCCTAACCCTTCTGTCTGTCCAGACCTGCCCATATAGTGCTCTCTGTACTATCACTGAAACCCTTTATTTGTCCTCAAATAATAAATGATATTATCTTAACCTTCCATTCCTCTCAAGTCTGACCATAAAAAGCTAAATTAGTTAATTGAGTAATTCTGTGCCACCCCTTTAAGCAATAATCTTAAAGGGATTCTATAGTGTAAGGAATACAAATCTGTGTTCCTTACACTATAGTTCCCTCTGCACGGCCTTACCTTGTGCCCCCCTCAGCATGAAAAAACAAACAAAAAAAAAACCTTTTAACACTTACCTGATTACTGCGCCGATGTCTCTCGGAACTGGGTCGGTGCACCACCTCCTCCAACATCATCCAACCGGGGGGGCTAATACGCATACACAGCAATCACTGCAAATGCATTAGGCCCTCACCATAGAAAAGCATAGCTTCAGTGCTTTCCTAAGGAGACTGTACTGATGCTGGATGTCCTCATGCAGAGCGTGAAGATATCCAGCGTCAGTAAGGTGACCAAAAGTCCCTTAACCACCAGGAAGGGTCTCTTGTGGCTGTCTGATTGACAGCTCAGCCACTAGAGCCACTTAGCCCTGTAATATAACCATTGCAGTTTCTCAAAAACTGCAATGATCTGCATTGCAGGACTAAGGGGGGCTGGCACACTACACCCATACCACTTCAATCAGATGAAGTGGTTTGAGTGCCTACAATGTCAATTTAACTCTCTGATTGAGGAAAGTATCACATAACTGTGATAGTGCCTGCTGGAAGTGTGTTTGGACAAATGGTTCTGGCGCACTGTGATGATGTCAGAGCACATGCTGGGCACCTGGCGCCTGTGCTCTGACACTCACAGTGCGCCTGAACTGCGAGGGAGTGCGGCAGCCCCAGCAGCACACTGAACCACCAGGGAGTTTGTTTCAGCTGGCAGGGTTATATTACAGGACTAAGTGGCTCTAGTGGCTGACATCCAGCATTAGTTACTCCAATGGCCGTTGGAGGGAATGCCCACCTGCCAACAACAGGGCAGACCCCCTAAGCGTGTCCTACACTGACCCTTCACCTTGCTTCCTTGAGCTTCTGGGAAAGATATCTCCAATGAGTATTTTTTTTATATACATCCTTATATACTTATTAACCCTTGATAATACCCCTCTCTGTCTCATTGGAGATATCTTTGCCAGAAGCTCAAGGAAGCAAGGTGAAGGGTCAGTGTAAGGGGAGGGTCTGCCTTGACGTTGGCAGGCAGGCATTCCCTCCAATGGCCATTGGAGTAACTAAATGACCTCCATTTGTCTAAATATACATAGGGATTAAGGAGAGAGTGTAGGTAACTTTTTTTTTTTTTTTGCAGAGGGTTTTTTACTATATATTGGGGCTGATGTGTACGGTGGTCGCTGCTGCCGCCCAGGAGTGATGGGAGTGAGCCCAGGACTTATTTTTTTGTACCTGCTGGAAGTGACTGATTACTCAAGGTGCTGCCTGCAAGGAGGAGTCCTGTTCCATCCAGTGTCCCCTCTGGGGTGGTCTTTAAGAGATCAGAGCCAGCTGTCGTGTGGTTCCCCATAAGTCAGATGGTTGGACTAAGGGTGCCCTAAATGTCACCTAACCCTTGAGCTAAGTCTCCTAAAACCATAATAATTGTTTTTTACTCACATCTTTATTGTCATCACACAATGAAAGTATATTATATATAATGTAATCTTCAGCACTTGGACATGAGCGTCACAAAAACGTTTTTTTCTTTCTGTTATTTTAAGTTGCATTGTCAATATTTAATGATTTTTTAACTTTGGGGGTAGATAGTCCACTTGCTGCAATATTTAACCCCACACTTGGCTCTCAGGAATGAAGTACTATGGCAGTACTCCCTATTTAGAAAATCTCTAGATCTGGTGGTGAGGACAACTAGGCAGTGGGCAGTGTGGCTGTGCTTTATCTCTGATATTTAACTCCTCATCTACAGCACATGAATGAGAAACATAGAGAGGACCCTTTGGAAGGCATGCACCATTTTTAATGATCTCCCATCATAAACAGCTCAGGACATGGGAGGTAGAAGGTGAGAAGATCAACCCACTACAAATGACCTCTCATTTCCTGCCCATAGGTGCAAAGCATAGAAGTGATATTCCTCTATAGTTTATTTTTCTCCCCACAGTCCAAAATAGGAAGGTAGGGCAGGGTGGATAACCAACCACTCCAATATTTGGCCTACACCTACAGTGCCCTGCAAAAGTATTCACCCCCTTGAATTTTTACCAATTGTGTTACATTACAGCCTTAAGTTCAATGTTTTATTAATCTGAATTTTATGTGATGGATCAGAACACAATAGTCTAAGTTGGTGAAGTGAAATGAGAAAAATATAGACATAAAACAATTTTTTACAAATAGAAAACAGAAAATTGGCATGTGCGTATGTATTCAACCCCTTTATTATGAAGCCCATAAAAAGCTCTGGTGCAACCAATTACCTTCAGAAGTCACACAATTCGTGAAATGATGTCCACCTGTGTGCAATCTAAGTGTCACATGATCTGTCGTTACATATGCACACCTTTTTTGAAAGGCCCCAGAGGCTGCAACACCTAAGCAAGAGGCACCACTAACACTGCCATGAAGACCACAGAATTCTCCAAACAAGTAAGGGACAATGTTGTTGAGAAGTACAAGTCAGGGTTAGGTTATAAAAAATATCCAAATCTTTGATGATCCCCAGGAGCACCATCAAATCTATCATAACCAAATGGAAAGAACATGGCACAACAGCAAACCTGCCAAGAGACATCCACCCACCAAAACTCATGGACTGGGCCAGGAAGGCATTAATCAGAGAGGCAGCACAGAGACCTATGGTAACCCTGGAGGAGCTGCAGAGTTCCACAGCAGAGACTGGAGTATCTGTACATAGGACGTCAATAAGTTGTACGCTCCATAGAGTTGGGCTTTATGGCAGAGTGGCCAGAAGAAAGCCATTACTTTCAGCAAAAAACAAAACGGCACATTTTGAGTTTGCGAAAAGACGTGGGAGACTCCCAAAATGTATGTAGGAAGGTGCTCTGGTCTGATGAGACCAAAATTTAACTTTTCGGCCATCAAAGAAAACGCTATGTCTGGCGCAAACAAAACACATCACATCACCCAAAGAACACCATCCCCACAGTGAAACATGGTGGTGGCAGCATCATGCTGTGGGGATGTTTTTCAGCAGCCGGGACTGGAAAACTGGTCAGAGTTGAGGGAAAGGTGGATGGTGCTAAATACAGGGATATTCTTGAGCAAAACCTGTACCACTCTGTGCGTGATATGAGGCTAGGACAGAGGTTCACCTTCCAGCAGGACAATGACCCCAAACACACTGCTAAAGCAACACTTGAGTGGTTTAAGGGGAAACATGTAAATGTGTTGGAATGGCCTAGTCAAAGCCCAGACCTCAATCCAATAGAAAATCTGTGGTCAGACTTAAAGATTGCTGTTCACAAGCACAAACCATCCAACTTGAAGGAGCTGGAGCAGTTTTGCCAGGAGGAATGGGCAAAAATCACAGTGGTAAAATGATGCAAGCTCATAGAGACTTGTCCAAAGTGACTTGGAGCTGTGGTTGCCGCAAAAGGTGGCTCTTCAAAGTATTGACTTGGGGGGGGGGGGATGAATAGTTATGCACATTGACCTTTTCTGTTATTTTGTCCTATTTGTCGTTTGCTTCACAATAATAAAAATAATTTTTAAAAAAATCTGCAAAGTTTTGGGCAAGTTCTGTAAATTAAATTATGCAAATCCTCAATGATCCATGTTAATACCAGGTTGTGAGGCAGCAAAACACGAAAAATGCTAAGGGGGTGGGGGGGGATACTTTTGCAAGGTACTGTATATCCAATAGTGGGGACAATATCGCTACATGCTGATATTACTAGAGCTTGTACGTAAGCTCCAAAAATGTGAGTGGGCATCTCAGCACTAATAAAGTATATTAAATGCTACACTGTTAGTTTTCCTCTCTCTCTTCTATCCATACATACGCCCACTGAGGACGGAATAGACTGCAAATCAGCTCAAACAAATGCCTTGTTTTTTATTGTATTTTATTTTCTATATTCTGTAGTATCTCATTTTTGTTCTATTTTATTTTTATTTGAGTTATTTGTTTAATTGTCTATTTTCAAAAGCCAATAAATGACTGACATGTCCATAGAACGAATAAACTAATAGAAACTCTGTAACGTGTATTTAATTCTCCATTTACACAGCACTTCTTGGAATAGAACGTTCTCTCTTACCTGTAAATGAAAAGCGGAACAATTAAATCTGTATAGTTGGGGTCAAAATCTGAATTCTCTAGGTTTTCCATCAAACTGTTATAATCCCTTATCCACTCCACGTTCCTATTAAGAGGGAGGAAGTTACCTGGAATAATTAAAGTGGGAAATAACATATATAGGTATCTCTAACTAAAAAACTGAAAGGCATAAATAGACCCTTTAATTCTTGCTTTTCTCAATAAATTAAATAAATAAGATGCAAATATTAATAAGCGGCTTTCACTCAAGTGTTACCGTTTAACAAATTAACTTAAAAATTGTGCAGTGCTTCCGTTAAATAACATCTTTCAGGTGTATCAAAAATTCCCCTTGGAATAAAGTGCTTGTGAATAAACATTGGATTTGTATCAATAGAATAATGAGTGTAATCAATGTGCAAAAATACAACAAATGTTCACACATTCATTTGTTTTCGAGCGCCTCCAATAAAATGAAAATGCAGAAATAATCTCTATTTGCAGTTGTTTGGACCTCGAGGATATAAGCAGTTAGAAACAGTGTATGGTGTAGTATGCTTGGGACACTATATTAATAAATAAATACTTTAAAAAAAATTATTATTCATTTATTTATTTGATTTAATAAATATATATTTTTGTCCTCCATTTGAGTGCTTCTCCCATCTGATTATCAGGGGTGGCATCTCCCAAATCAGATGTGGTGGTAAAAGAGCCTGACTAATAGCTCTTGAACACGTGAGGGTTTATTTATTTATTAATTATTATTTGCAAATCACCAATTTAAAACAAAATGTGGACTGAAGGTATTTAGTAGGATGCATACTCACAAATTATCTTTCACTTGCTTTTTGCTTGAAAATAATAATTGTAAGCACTATTTGCCCCTGGCAGGAACAGCAGACAGTGGGCAAATAGTTAACCATGTGGTGACTGACCAGAGCTTGCACCCCCATCCCCTCTCCAAGCCCCTTGCCAACTCCCAATAAAGAAATACTACCTAACTCATTGTAATAACAGTGTGTGGGGACAATATAGCTAACAGCAGTTATTGTTTCAATGGGCAGATATAATATTATAAATATAACATTCATTTCTTGCTTTGTGCAAAGTGAGAAACATTTTTAACAGGAAACAAAAACGTGTTTTCTCCCAATTAAATTTAAATTGTTTGAAGTGGTCTGGGTGCCAGGTCCCCCAGGTTTTAACTTTTCAGATGTTTACATAGCAGATACAGAGAAACTGCTATGTTTACATTGAGGGTTAATCCAGCCTCTAGCGGCTGTCTTCCTGACAGCCGCTAGAGGGGCTTCCCAATGCTCAATGCGAAAATCACATTGAGCACGCAGAATGTCCATAGGAAAGCATTGAGAAATGCTTTCCTATGGGCGGTTTGAATGCGCACGTGACTCTGGACACTCATATGCATTCGGCTCCACTCGGGAGCTGACGTCGGATGAGGGAGGAGAGGTCACCAGCGCAGAGGGAGCCCGGCGCTGGATTAAAGTAAGTAGCTGAAGGGGCCCTGAGAGTGGGGCGGGGAGTCCTAAGGGTTATATAGTGTCACAAAAATGAGTTTGTTTTCCTGACACTATAGTGATCCTTTAAAAACTGCTTTTTGGCAGACTCATAAGTTTTTTTTCCCAGAATTGCATTTTATGCATCATGTTGATACAATAATTGAAACTAAACATTTTGACTTTATAGGGTATTTATCAAGAACCCAAATAAAACAATAAGTGACAATGTATAGGTAGTCAGTGCCTTCACTCATTCCCATGGTTCTCTACTATTGTAACTTGTTAGATAATGACCTATACAAATACTAGCAGTCACAACGTTTCCTTACCCAGCTGACAGTAGATTTGTAACTTTTCATAGCTGTTCATGGTTCCAAACCCTCTGTTATCCACGATGGTGATGGTGTCTGTAAGTTC